GCTCGGGCAGCCCTTTTCGCGCGGCTGGGAGGGAGGAGGGGGAGTTAGGGCGGGGACTTTGGGGAAGGGGCGGGGAAGGGGCGGAGTTGAGGCAGGGCCGGGGGTGGGAAAGGGGCAGGGCCAGGGCCCATGGAGTGTCCTCTTTTTTATTTTTTAAATATGGTAACCCTAATTTATAGTTTAAAAGGACTAACTCCCTGTTCTCTGCACTGGAAAATGCAAGGAACAAAATGGGACAATTCAGAGGACCCCGGGACTTTCCATTGGACTTGCCTCTCTCCACACTTTTGTTTGCATTACAGATAATATACCCAAGTGAATTTGCAATAGTAGCAAACGTGGTGTGGTTCTTCCGTTCTGGCAGAATCAGATCTGCAAGGTCTGACTAACTAGATTAGATTCAATTTAGTTTAGGCTAAATATAAAACACAACTGGGAAGACTGTGTTCTACGAGATGCATTGCTGTTTGTTCACCGGGCATATAAACACACTGGTGATATGACAGATACATTTCACAGCTGGCATCGCTGCACTTCGTGCTTGCAGAAGAACTGATGAGCAGTTCTGTGCTAAGTGATATTAGATCATTTGGAGCATGTCATTTCTCTGATAGGAATTGGAGAGCCTTGCAAAGTTCTGTTCACTCAATTAGCAGGGGCAAATTGTTTTTTGTTTTCTGAGGTGCAGACAGGAAAGCAGAGACACAAAGAGTTTAAGGGACTTCCCCAAGGTCATAGAAGGAGTCACAGTGACATAGCAGGGATTAGAATTCCCTGGCTTCTAGTCTATTGGTCATATCTCACCTGTTCTCTAACCTGATTAAAGGGAACTTCTATATGTACTGTAATGAAGTTCATCTTTGGAGGGTGGGTAAATAAATAAATAAATAAATAAGAGGTTTGATTATAAGTTAGGGGCAGATATGAAAAATAACTTCGCATTCTCCAAATGAGCAGGTTAAAACATGGGTGAATATCTTGCACAAAGCATATATTGGAACCTTCACCTATCCCTAAAACAAGTGTACCCTATTTATTTTCTGTAGATTACAATTTATATGGTAAAAAAACTTTTCAAGTACCAACTGCTTTAAGATGACCTTTTTGTTACATTTTTCAGTGGCAGGTCAGTACAACATAGTTGAAACGTGATTTACGCACTTTAAAAACTCTTGTGTGGAGATGTTTCCTCTTTCAACCCAAATGTTTTGATTCGTTTTTTAAATAATAATACTTAGAACTTATATAGCATTTTTTATCCTACACATTTCAAAGGTATTTAAGTTTCATTATCTCCATTTTACAGATGGGAAAATTGAGACTCACCAAGAGGTGAAGTGACTCGCTCAAGGTCATACACGGAGTCAGTGGCAGAACTAAGATTGGAGCCCAGGTCTCCTGATTCACAGGTCCCTGTTCTAATCACATGACAACACTGCCTCCCACTGACTAAGAAAAATTAAAGACTAGTTTGTTTTTTGATGTAGAGTCACCTGACACTGTTAATTCTGCTGTCCTTACTCAGGCAAAAGTCTCAACAATTTCATCCAAAATATATTAATTGTGATGTCACTGGGAAATTGTCTGGGCTAAGGAGTGCAAGACTGAGCCCTAAATTATTTTCCTTATTTTTGATATATGTACAAGTAACGGCTTCCCTAATACACATGGGGGGGAGGAGGGGAAATCTCCTATGCTGTAACCACAGAAAGTATCAGAGTAACTCAAATCAATACTTTGCTTAAAAAGCAAGCAAGCCTGCCCCATTCCCTCCCTCCCTCTCTCTCTCTCTCTCACACACACACACACACACACACACACACAAGTTTGGAATGTTATAAACAGGAAAGGCTATTTATATAGGAAAGGCAAGAGTAGATGCAGACTCGCTATGGCATGCAGCTATATGCAAAGAGAAAAGAGTTAACTAAAGTTACCTGACAGTCTGGCAGTCTGGCCCCCTGGCTAGTTGTGAGCCGCGTAGTGGTATGGAGGCAGCAGGCTGCTGATAATCTACAAGAAACTGATAAATTAGACATATATACAAAGAGATGACAAAGCAAGGGGTTAGTAACAATAGTAAACAGACTATGCAGCTGATGGAGAGATTTAGTGAGGAATGTATGTTCAGTTCTTGTTAGCTAAGTAACAGTTTCTTTCACAAATACTACTAATGGAAACATTTGAGCTTATTTTTTTCCCCCAATGGCAAGATATTATTAGATGGGAGTTGTAGACCAACCATATTTAATGAGCACGTACTGATGGACCTTTTGCAATATGGGCCTGATGGTAGTCTTTTCACTGACTTCAATGGGGTCTGAATCAGGCCATATTAACCATTATTTTATCATAGGGTATGAATGCAACTGGTTTGCTTACTAGTAATATAAAATGTCAATAACCGCTACTTTAAAATTCTCAAGATATCTTATGCCTATTATAAAAAAAAATCCCCTGTGAACTTGCAGAGTAAAAAAATCCTGTGGCAGTTCCAGCTGCCATCAAAACATAAAAAGAAGAACAGGAGTAATTGTGGCACCTTAGAGACTAACAAATTTATTAGAGCATAAGCTTTCGTGGACTACAGCCCACTTCTTCGGATGCATATAGAATGGAACATAGTTCTTTCAAAAAAGATTTAAATCAGACATTACAACCTGCAAGCAGTGGCAGTGAGATTGTATGTATGAAATAAATGTAGAGCCACTGTAATTCTTGTGACTGTTTATAGGAATGAGGAAACAGGTTTTAAATCCATTAACAACGTTCTCTGTTTTCTTGATTTAATAAACAAATAAAACAACAACAAAACAAAACCTGAACTGCTAGCCTCTTACCAACTTCCAAGTCTGAGCAAACCCCACCACTGCACAACAACATAAGAAACTAACACAGTCTGACTCTTTATAATGGAACTAGTCCAAACATTCTGTGGCCTGTGTTATACACATAGTCAGACTGATGATCGTCATGATCTTTTCTGGCCTTAAAATCTGAGTGAAATCCTGACTCCACTGAAATAAATGGAGTTTTGCCATTGACTTCAGTGGGGTCTGTGCATTCTTGCCTGCTGTGAATATTGCATCTTGATTCTCTAGATCCCAGCTTTTGATTTTCTAAGTTTCTTTCTCTAAAGCAACTGTTCAGGAAACAGGAAGTTATTCTAACGTGAATTTTAAAAACAAAAATGACTAGACATCATAGTCAATCAGAATCTTTTTTAGGAATCATGAATCTTTTCTTCTTTTTCTCACTGTCTGTCACTCAAAACACAAAACTCCTTTTGAAGGAGGTACAAATAATGTAACAGTCTCTGCTCTGGTGTAGAGGAAGATTGTTCCCTTGGAATTCAATTCTGCTGTCTCAATCAGTTGGAAGAAGTTGTTGGTACTATATATACAAAGACTTCCCACATGTAGCTGACACTGTTGGTACTGTTCTTCTTTCACACAGGGCAGGGTACTTGCCTGAAAATACTGGGGGTCATTCTAGTACCACAGTCACCTCTTCTCATACAAATCCATTTATCAGTCATCATATAGGAATCTGTCTCCTAAGATGATCTGTGCTGCCCTCTAGTGGTCTAAGTGGGTGTGGACAAATCACATTTGGTGCCTATCTTCTCACCTCAGTAAACATCATAGATTTTGGACCCTGAGCTTGACCTTTGGCAGGAAGAGAAGGAAAAAGTATAAGGAATTATTATTCAACACATCTAAATGTGTCATATGACTTAAGCTGACAGAGCTGCTCTTTTGTTGCAGTTTGCAGAGTAGTCTATTTGAAGTGCTGGTCTTAGACCCAGAGCTGTCTTCTCTTGGTAAATCAACATACAGCTTGGTTAGGGGGGTGTCTTATGCAGCAAGATGGCTGTTCTACCGGTGTAAAACATTTTTACATTGGGTGATGCCTGAATGGCTATCAGTGTGTAGTCTCTCTAGCTCCCAGGACTGATGAAATATTAGTTAAGCCATAAAAGGCAGGCACTGCTTATTGCTGGTGCTGTAAAGATTTTTACTTTATGATAAGTCTCCTAAAAACAGGATCAATGAACTGATTACTGCAAGAGTCAGACTGGTTTATTCCTAAAGTCTCTGTTGCCAGGAAAGCCAAATGCAGTGTTGATTTCAACCACTACAGGGAGAGAATGACTATTTTGCATGAGAATCCCCCAATCCAACTCATACTGAAGTCAGTGGGGGTACTCCCATTGACATCAGTATAAAGGCCTGCACTAGTGATAGGCAATATATAAAAGGTTCCGCATGGTTCAGAATAGCATTTTTTAAAACTCTAAGGGCACAACTCCCATCACCACTCAGCCTCGTCAGCCCTACAGCTTCTCATCATTCTAGCAACTCTCCTTCACTGTTGGACTGGCCAGAGCTAGTTTCTTCTTTCAAATCTAATGCCCAGTGCTAGCTATGGGCCAAATTTAGTCCTGGTGGAACAGCTTTAAATTCTGTTAATTCAATTAAGTTTCACCCACTTACATCAGGACTGACACTGGCTCTATAGATACTGTTGAACCGAGAAACTTTGTGAAAAATGTGGGAATTTTGGTAATATTTTTATGATGCCTGTGTGTGCCTCAGTTTCCCTCAGGGGCTTTGCATAGCTATGCACTGAGGGTGAAGGGAAGGGATAAGGTGATGACTCAGCAGCCTGGTTGGAAACCAGAGTCATTAACAAACTGAATAAAAGTCTACACATGTGAATGGAGGATCCAGAGAGACAGTGAAAACCCCAGTGGCCAGTGACCCACACACTTACTGACCAAAGGCCAAAAGCAGTAGAACAAAGGAGAAAGTTGATAGGTGGCTGTGATAAAAGCTGTGCTCACAGACATCCAGCATGCACCCCGCCCCCCGGAACCAAAGACAAAGGGACTGAGACAGGGCCAAAGTGGATTCTACAGCAGCTCAGCTGGGTAGAGCCCTCACATTGGCTAGACTGAACTCTGTCTTAATCTTTGCTTCTCTACACCAGTGGTTCCCAAACTTGGTTAGCAGCTTGTTCAGGATAAGCCCCTGGCGGGCTGCGAGATGCTTTGTTTACCTGAGCATCCGCAAGTACGGCCGCCTGCAGCTCCCAGTGGCCGCAGTTCACCGTTCCCGGCCAATGGGAGCTGCAGTAAGTGGTGCGAGCTGGGCCACTGCTTCTCGCAGCTCGTATTGGCCGTGAACGGCAAACTGCGGCCACTGGGAGCTGCGAGCGGCTGGACCTGCGGATGCTCAGGTAAACAAAGCGTCTCGCGGCCCACCAGGGGCTTATCCTGAACAAGCCGTGAACCAAGTTTGGGAACCCCTGCTCTACGCTAACCTCAGGACTTTCACATTCTGAATGCTAGGTAACTAATAGATTATCTTGCTTTGAAAAGAGTGCTTGGCGTTGCTGAAAACACTAACTGGGAGTCCTGTGTCCTGAAGGAATAAAGAACAAGCCTCCCATAGGAGCCCAGCCCTGGCTAAGCACCACACCTAGTGTCACAGGTGTGTTCAGCCTTTTGGACTATAAACTAGGTGAATCCAATCAACATTATCATGTGTGGCTGTGTTTTTAATGTCTGAGAAATGGGCATGCATTTTTGCTGCTGTCAGCAATGTCCTCAGTGAAAATTTTACATGCGACTATAGAATGAGCATAATGGAACTCCCTTTGTACATTCTGTCACTGGATATACAAAACAAGCTGTTTATATAAAGAGTGACTTGGTATTATCAAGGAACAAGAATAGCAAGGGATCCAAGACCAAGAAAAGCATCAAGAAGAGCATGAGTGGTGCTGCAAATAAGTGACTGGTGTATTGTATACACCTTTTGCTGTCTTCTGATTATAGTAACTCAAAATTCATGAAATGTTTCTATAAAATCTCACGGGTAAAAATGAAGAGCCAAACACTAAATATAAAAAATATTTTAAAGGGACTATTCACATTAGGAAAGCCAAGTGTGTGAATGAAGATTTGCAGGATCAATCCCTGAAAAGAAGAAAATGAATTTCTTATTGCAAAATGTGAAGTTGACTTTTTGGTGTTTTATGTAAAACTCACCCTGGAGACGGAAGGATCCCTTCATTTTGCAGAACTTGCAAAAAAGTCTCACTTCCTAAGCTCAGATTTTCATAGTCCCCACCCCCCTACTGTCATGCCACTCAATGTCAATTGCACTTGCTGCATAAATGTTGCAAGAACTTGATAATGTGTTCTGCTGAGACGTGCTATTGTCAGTTTACCTGAAAACAGGAGCAGTCTCTGTTTACCTGAGAATGAATTATTCTCTTTCCTGGGATTTCAAAAACAACGACTAAGTTGATTTAATGTAACCCCTGGCTAACAGAATGAATCAAGAGTAGTGAGCAAGAAAATCTTTTCTTAAAAACAACCCCCCCTTTCTTCTGATGACACTAAACTGGGTGGAGTGGTGGATACGCTGGAGGGTAGGGATAGGATACAGAGGGACCTAGACAAATTAGAGGACTGGGCCAAAAAACCAACCTGATGAGGTTCAACAAGGACAAGTGCAGAGTCCTACACTTAGGACGGAAGAATCCCAGGCACTGCTACAGACTAGGGACCAAGTGGCTAGGCAGCAGTTCTGCAGAAAAGGACCTAAGGGCTACAGTGGATGAGAAGTTGGATATGAGTCGACAGTGTGCCCTTGTTGCAAAGAAGGCTAACGGCATTTTGGGCTGTATAAGTAGGAGCATTGCCAGCAGATCAAGGGACGTGATCATTCCCCTCTATTCGGCATTGGTGAGGCCTCATCTGGAGTACTGTGTCCAGTTTTGGGCCCCATGCTACAAGAAGTATGTGGAAAAATTTGAAAGAGTCCAGCGGAGGGCAACAAAAATGATTAGGGGGCTGGAGCACATGACTTATGAGGAGAGGCTGAAGGAACTGGGATTATTTAGTCTGCAGAAGAGAAGAATGAGGGGGGATTTGATAGCTGTTTTCAACTACCTGAAAGGGGGTTCCAAAGAGTATGGAGCTCGGCTATTCTCAGTGGTAG